AACACTGGGTATTAAAAGGAAAAACAAGAAGAAATGGGAGTAAAGGGATAACCAATGACTTTTACCCCACGTGTGTTCCACCCTCTATGCCCGCCCTCAAGTTCATTTTAGTCGGCGAACTGTGAAAAAGCAACCAAGCACGAAAATAATAACAAATTCCTGCACAAAGCAGAGTGAACTGAAGTAAAGTGAAATGTTTTTTTATGTAATGAGCGTAATAATCAGAGAAACATGCGAAAGGATCTGCCACGATTTTGTTGATTGATTCCAGCACAACAGTGAAAACCTTATTAAACCTAAACACCCCAAAAAGGTTTGCCTTTCTGCCACTCGGTTTTCCCAGACCTCTGCAAAATCAAAGCAGAGTTAACCAAGACAATGCGAATGGGGTAAAGGCATTGACGACTGGGTTCTTAGCCTTGTTATCAGAAGGCGGATTCCAAATCCATGATGGATGAGGGAATGTAAACAGATTTTGTTTCAAAACCGTTGAAAGCATTCACTTTTTTTTTATAAATGATGTACATGCTTCAATTGGATTGAATATAGGTTTCGTTAATAGGGAACGTTTCTTACCCAAAATCATTTAAAGAGTTTTCACATTCATTTTAATATAAGAGAAAGAAAGAAAGTTCTATGTTATATATGGAAAGGTTAATCTCCCAGTGCCACTGAACCACTTTTGTGCTGCTGCGCCACCGATAAATAAGAATAATGTGCGGAATCCAGCAATGGAAGCCTCCATAATGACCATGAACGAACAGTTTATGGTTAAATAAAGGCACAGCGGCAAAACTTCATTTTCTAGACACAGTGTCGGACGTAACTGTAACGCCCCCCTTTTCCCTTCGCCAAAAATATTCGCCATCCCGCAGCGGGAGACTCTCGTCGGTTATGCAAAGTAATGCAAAATTGCGACGGCGGCCAGCAGCGATTCAAATGCAAGTGGTCCACTTACCCACGATATGCACAGTGGTCACAAAACTATGCTCTCTGTTTTAAATATAATACCGACGACATTTACAGATAAATAAGCCATGAGCAAATTTAAGTATGCAAAAAAAAAACCTGGCTATTTGTATAAATAAATATATAAATATATTGTTTAATGTATATTGCATACAATTCAGACAATTCAAATATTATATCAAAAACGCTAGGGGTTTTTTCAAAACGCTTCAATAATCCGCTTTAACATTTTCTAAAATTTGTTTTATAGGTTTTTTATTTAAAGCAACAGTGAAACAAAACAATAATATAAATGAAAATAAATCTATAAAGCTATTCTACAAAAAATATTAGATAACAAAAGTTTTTAATAAAAATCAACCAATTTAATAATCTAAAACCACAGTGTTTTTCCAGCTGTCCGCTTGGCTTTAAAGCACGGGTGTATGTGAGCGCTTTTTTTATTGGCCGAGCTTGATAACGCATATTTTTGGCTTATTTTGCAGCTTACTGCTGCGGCAGCAATTTTGCACAACTGGACGTGTGTGTGTGTGTGTTCTTTTCCCGGGATCAGCACACACTAAAAGTAAAGTTGCAATCTAAATTACATTTGCTTGAAAATGAGACTTGCAACATGACATATATTAAAGAAGACTTTCTTTTTTCATTGCATACTTTTAGACGCATTTTTAAGTCGTTTACAAATCTTTGTGTTTTCCGTGGCACAACCTTTTATAATTTTATTTACCGCGCAGGGTATTTTGAGTTCGATGTGTCCTCGCCATTTTTTCTTTGCACAATCATTTTTTGTCGCTGCGGTTTGCCCTTCGCTGCCCGTCTGCCGATAATCACGCTATTGCCCCATCAGCCGGAAATGGGCGCGCCGCCATCTTGTGTCTGCGTACCGAACGTGTGTGTGTTTGTGTGTGAGTGTGTGTGAGTATGTGAGAGTGTGAGGGTGGGGGGAGGTGATGAGGAGTGTGTGTGAAGCCAACGAAATATGCGTGCAAGTGGCATAAAGTGGCAGCCAGACGGCCATCTTTTGGGTCTTTGTCGTGCGGACGGGGCTGCCAATCTGCTGCCAAAGTGCACAGCGTATATTGGATTTGCCAATCATAAACTGAAGCCAACTGCATAATCTATGCACCATTGCAGTCGCGCACAGACAGCGAAAAATGGATGGGGGCGTATGGAAATTGGTTTAAACAATTTCCCAAATTTGTTGGGGCTCAAAAAAACATCGAACAGGATGTCCATCAGCATCCCAAATCTATATATTGGAAGCGACATCGCGACACTTTAATTAACAGCGAGAATTTAAACCTAAATCTTTTTCAAAAGGAATATTAAATTTGAAAGACTATAGCTGGAAGTTTATTTAAATCCCAGAATAATTATATATATCTTATTATCTGAAGTAGTATTCAGATTCTTTTAAAAACAATATTCCTGGTTTAAGAATTAAGTATTTCAGCCAATACAATACAAATTTTTGCCCATAAGTATAAGTATTTTTCTATTAAGAAAATAAAATTAACAAAAAAAAAACTTGTTGTTATGTATGTAGTATGTATAATATTTAAAATACAAACACATCTTCACTTTTCTGCTACAATTTCTGTTTTTAGATTGTCTGCGGCTGGAGATAATAACAATAACTATCTTTTATATCTGCTTAACAGCCAATGCAGTTAAAAAAGCAAATGTTTTTCCCAATTGCCACTGCCATTGTCATGACTATTATTATATTCGCTGCTGTTGTTGCCGATTTTGCTGCCAGTGACTCTGCTGTATCGCCAGTTTTGTCTAATTCCGTGAGGAAGGGCATAAAAATAATTTCAAGTAGCTTTAAATGTGTTTAGATAGAAATTTTTGTATTGGTTAGGAAATACAAAGCAATATATATATAGAAATAAATAATATATGTTCTAAATACATTTTTAACACACATTCACTATGAATGTTTTTATTTGTATTTTTATATTTACATTTTTTTGTAACCCACAAGACCGGTAAGAAAGGGTATCTAAAACTACAGCATAAAAAGCCAGACTGCCTTTTGTACGCTTTTGCCAACGACATTGCTCTTGCCAAAAACAATTCCCACTGAATTTTTACAGCCGAAATAATTTTTAATTTACATAAATGCCGGTCGCTATTCACAATGTAAGTGTGTGCTGTCGGTTGACTCTTTGGCTTTTGCCAGTTGCATTCAGCGTACAGAAACGAACCCAAATCCGGAAGGCAAATGGAAGTGTCTCCGGCACGATCTTCCCCTTTTCCAGATCCGCATTGTGGGTGAAACACTCAAAGAAAATAAAACAGAATATCTTCAAGTTTGCTACTCACTTTTTCTTGAAAGAAATTTTCCATAGGTGTAATCTTATTTCATATTTAAAATCTTGAAAAACCAAGTCACAAAACCAATTTAATTTCTTAAACTTGGGTTTAAACAACATCAAATTCTTCACGAATATAGAATTAGCCAATCTCTTTTTAAATTTGGTATTTTATCTTATAAAAAGCAAAGTAAAACTGATGGTTATATTTGCAAGCTAAAGAAGTAAATGTTGTTTTATTGAGAAACTGTTTATTCTTTTGGATTCACTGTATTTCTTCTTCTAAAAGGTTTTTAAACCCAGCACCTAAACAAAACGAATATTTTTTGAAAGTGTTTTTTCCCCACAATTTGGCAGCTGTAAGCTTGCGACACATAATTCTGGTTCATATTCGTATGGCGTCGACTCAGCAGCCCAAAAAGGAAATAAGTTCCTGCACTCGATGTTTTTATGAGGGAGTTGGCATATCCAGATGCAGCATTTTTGGGGATTCGAGATTCGGGATTCGGGATTCCCTTCTCCGGCCACGTCAAATGGTTGGACATTTATCGATTTGCTGGCCAGGGATTATTTGCGCTGCCTTGGCTTGGCATCGTCGTTTCTGTCGTCGTTGGTAATCTGTGATGCTTCGCACCGAAATTATCTCCATCGCTCATACGCCGCGTGGCCAGCGAAATGCATGAAAATTGTCACTTATATTCGAGGTAATTGTTGTTGCTGCCTGCCTGCCTGCCTGCCTGACTGCCTGCCTGTTGTCCGAAATGATAAATGACCGTGATGGGGGGCACCCCACCACTATTCACAACATTTGTCCACCGCCCAACGTCTACATAAATGTATATCTATTAGCATTTATCTTGGTCTCGGAACCCGGACAAGTTTCGCCTGACTCAAGAATTAATCATGTGGCAATTATGCTGTGGCAACAGTTCTTGCTTCTTGCTCAGCATCCATTTGCACACACATATATAATATTGTATATATAGCTTTCCCTTGTTCATTTCCTCTTAGTGCTATCTGTGACATCGTGCAATGGTCGCCCAGTGAGAATTTCAACTAAATCATTGTGTCCAAAATTATGCCATGCCCTTCGAGGGCACAATACAATATTCGAAGAAAACGCCAGCATCGTTAAACCTGTACATTTATGTATACAAACCACAAAGTCCCAGTTTGAATTTAAATTCAGAAATAAGAAGTCTATGACTTGTCAGTCATATGCACTTTAGTTTTGTTAGCAAAGCATAATAGAAACTGATCAGTCAAGCCTTCCAGAGCGCTCAATGCAACGAAACAATGATCAATACTATGAAACAATTTTAAATATATTACAATACGATACAAGCATTTCCCAATGTCTCTTTCTAGAAGAGTGTTTGGTTATATTAATAAATATTTGGTATATTATAAATATATTTTAACTTATATGGGAAATTTAAAGGGCCATTCTTTCTAAACAGGAAATTTCAATCACTAATTTTGGCAAGTCTTCATTATATTAGCGTAAATGCAAACACAAGAAAATAACAAGACATTGGTTAATAGCCTATTTTTTGATATTTTAGAAACACAAGAAACTTTATTTTCATTTCAACATAAAAATCAAATCCACTAATGCGGCAATCCAAGAAGATGGAGAGTTTTCTGTCGGTAAGGTACATATATAAGCGTTTACCTTATTGGCCTTCAACTCAAAAAAGTCTTAAAAGGAAATAAAGCAATAGACACATTTTAATTTCTTGGATTATTTTCAAAAGTTAGTTGACAATAAATGGCAAGTGTTCCACAAACCTAGCTAGAAGATGGCCGCTCCACCGGAGCTTCGTCCGCCTGCAGTTCGACGGTGGCAACGGAGCCCGCTTCGACCGCTTCGTCCGGTTCGAGGAACTCAAACGGCCGCAGTAGGTGTTTCCGGCAGCTGTTCTCCTGATCGTCGCTATCCTCGTCGTCGTCGTCGTCGGAGGACATCTCAGTGCCGGGTCGCATTTTGGCCAACAGTTTGGCCGATAGCTTGGACGAGTCGAGGCGCAGTTGGCCAAGGCAATCGAATCCGACGTAGGCCAGCTTGAAACTGGCCACCGCATTGGCATAATCGACGGCATCGGCCAGTCGCTTTTGCCGCACAAAGGCGGCATAGATGAAGGCGGCCGTGAAGCAGTCGCTGTCGCCCACGCGATCGATGATCTTCGTTGGCTTGTGGGCGGGCAGCAGGAAGTAGTGTCCATCGGTGGTCATGCAGCCGGCACCCAAGCTGCTCCAGGGCACTATGATGCAGGGCCGGCGAATGGCAATGTCCCGGGGTATTCGCAGCAGTCCGTTAATTGCCTCGCAGGCTGCCAGCGGCGTCTGCCAGCCCCTGGACTCGGCTATGTACTTGGTGACAAACACATAGTCGCACATGCCAATGAGGTCGACGACCTCCGAGAAGGCATTGAAGATCTGCAGTGAGACCACAATGCGATCCCGCTCCGCCCGTCCGTTGTTGTGGTCGAGGATCAGACGGATCATGTCGCACGTTTCCCGCGGACTGCGCGCCTCGAAGTTCACCCAGCCGTATTGGTCGAGGTCCAGCTGCCGGAAATCGGCGGCGGTGACATACGGAAACGGCTTGTCGCAGTAGACCACCGTGCAGCGGCGAGTCCAGCGCTCCTGGACGATCGTCGAGAACGGCGGACTGTCGTCCGTGAAGGTGCAGTGGCTGGTGTCGATGCCGCGCACCTCCAGATCGTCCAGGATCATGCGGTAGGTGGGATTGCGGCTCAGCACCCCAAACAGCTCCACATTGGCCCCCAACAGCCGCAGGGCTGTGCTCACGTTCGAGGATCTACCGCTGCGCTGCAGCATTCCGTTCTGGGTGCGGGATTGATCGCTCTGGAAGTCAACGTTCTCAATGGTGGTCACATAGTCCACCTCCGTGCAGCCCACGCAGAGCACGGCCTTCATCACACTGATCGAACCCCATGGGGTCATCTTGTTTAAGGACTCTATTCCAGACCTCGATATGGGATATACAATCCTCGACTCTCCTTCGATTGCTGACCCTCAATTTACGATTGTCATAATTTCGTTTCTGTTTCCGAATAGTTTGACACAGCCCTAAATAATTGTTCATTTTGGTTTTTGGACTTGAAAAGGAAATTCGTTTCTTTCAGCTTTAAATAAATGGATTCATCAAAGATATAAATAGTTGGTAGCTTTCACCCTAATTAAAAATATCCTGAAACTATTAAAAACTACAATATTTGTATATATATTTAAAAAGAGTTATTACGATATTTTAACAAACTTACTTAAAGATTTGTTGTCATCTTGAAGTCGTCTTAGACGTCTAGATATTGTCCTTTATTAATGAAATCTACTTCAGAGCCTTTGAATTGGAACAAATACAAAAAGGTTTTGGAATTAACAAAACAAAGAATTTATATATATGTAAGGTATAGGCACTGCCCATTTGATACCTTCTTGAGTTTACCAATTCTAATTTCCTTTTTGAGGTTTTTACATTTGAGATCAGGTCTGAGTGTTAATCAGCTCAAATGCCAACTAAGTGTAATGTCAAACCAGTCTAAATTGCTCCTCCAAATCAAGCAGTAATGTTTTTGTAAATATAAAATTGAAAAATCAGAAAACAGAAAACAGAAAAGACATACGATGGGCGATTATGGCAACAAATTGAGCTGGGCCGTTGGCAAGAAGCTGGTGTTGTGTGTGGGCACCACGACCATAGACTTCGTCTCGACCACGAGGACCTTTCCGGAGGAGAACAAGTACGATAAGGCCATCGGGGGATACTGGATGCGGGGGGGTAACGCCTCGAACAATTGCACGGTGCTCTCGAATCTGGGGGTCAAAGTGGAGTTCTTCGGAATGCTGAGCAGCCTGGCTATGTTCCAAGTGCTGGTGGACGACCTCAAGGCACGTGGCATCATTGTGGAGAACTGTCCGACCTGCGACCAGAATGCGCCCTTCGCCTCAGTGATACTCACCAAGTCGACCAAGACGCGAAACATTGTCTACTGCAACAGCAACTTTCCGCACGTCGGCATCGATGACTTCCGGAAGCTGGACCTGAGCAAATACGGATGGATCCATATGCGAGCCCTCAACTTTGAGAGCACGATGGCCATGATCGCTGAGTTGACGGCCTACAATGCCACCAGGGAGGAGAAGATCGTTGTTTCGCTGGAGTTCGATCACAATCTGGATGAGATGTGGAAACTGATGGACTACTGCGACTATGCCATATTCTCCAAGCAACTGGCCCAGCCCAATGGCTGGCTTTCTCTGGAGGATGCCTGTCTGCAGCTCGACGAGCGGTTGCGCATGCGCTGGGGCCTGAACCTCAAGCGACCCTACGTGGTCGTCCTGTGGGGCGATCAGGGGGCCGGGATCATGGACCTCGCCGGCAACTACACCCACGCCCAGCCCTACAAGCCCAAGCGCATCGTGGACGCCCTGGGTGCGGGCGACACCTTCGTGGGAGCCTTCATCTACGCCCTCTACATCCGCAACCGATCCCTGCCCGTGGCCGTGGACTTTGGCAACCGCATGGCCAGCTTCAAGTGCACCAAGAATGGCTACGATCACATTGCCAGCATTCTACTACCACCGGTCTTGTGAGTCCATCAGGTGGCTGATGTCCTCATTTCTTATGTCTTTTGATCTCAATTTATAGTATTTAAATATCCCTAAAAATTAATGAAGTAAATCTTTCAACATTTGTAATTAATTATAACCAATAAAAGTGTCTATAAACATTGGAAATGATAAAAACGTCGATTTAAAAAATATAAATAAAAATAATTTCTAAGCATTTGTTATACCTAAGGAGTTTGACATACATAATGAGAAGATGAGATTAAATTATATAACAGAACGGCCACAAGTGCTTACATTAAACAATTGGACACCATTATTATGGAGTATTCTTAATATAACGACCCACAACTTCTGTACTTTAAAAATATATATATTATATTATTGCATCGCAACGACCATAAATACATATCCCATACATATGCAAATGAAATGAAAAATAGGAGAGAAAGAAAAGCTGTCGCATGCCCTTAACCCGTTAAATCCGGCCATTCATTACGTATGCCCACCGTTGGCCAAGGATAATAATTACCTTACCAGACGCTCGACCAAACTGTATCGCCTATAAATTATCGGATATACAAATACGCATGTATATAAAATTTCATACTACCTACCATATATTGTCGTTTTGTCAGACTTTCCAATTGATTGCAAAACGGACCTGCAATGTCATTGAATTTTCGTCGCTGAAAAGGGTTCAAATGTTTTCCATTCGTTTTTACGAACCTTTTGTCGCTCACCCTTGGCTATTTGAAATATAGCCAGATTATTTAAATAAATGGCAACCGCCTGGCCACTAAATGGGTCAATAAATATGCGACCAGCAGGTGACCAAACTGTCCCTGTTTTCAAACCGATAAATGAGATCTCCGCCAGCAAAAGATTATTATTCGCTTGTGCTCGCACAGATTATGCAAATGCGAGTCAAGGCGAATCCTTAATTAATGATTTGCCGTGGCGAATCGGAATCAAAATCAATAAGACCACTGATTTTTGAAATTTGTTATCGCAAAAAAACAACCAAAAGCAAAATTTATAAATATTCAAATGAAAATCCTCGCACTCCTGCAAAACGGAAACGTCGAATCGAATTATGTTTAAATTTATGCATAAAACCTCGTGGTGATTCAACGTTCCGAGTGGTCAAAACTGGCAACTGGCCGCCGTCAACTTCACTTTTGCCGCTTGATTGAAACTCATTTATCATCGTAAATTAGAAGTGCGGGAGTCGTGGAAGAGATTCATCATACTCCCGCCACCGGTCGGTAATCTGGCTCAGATTGAAAATTAATGAGGTCATCAGGCTCGGCATACCCAAATGGCTAAGCCAAGTAATTTAAAGCAGTACGCGCGTTTCTTCGCCTTGCTTCCTCCAATTTTTTTTTTACTTTTTACCATAAATATTTCGCTTTTTGTTGCTATTTATAAATTCACTTTGCAGCAGGGGTTTAAATTCATCCATCCGCAAGTCAAGACCCATTCTCGTCGCACATTCATCCCCCAAAATAGCGAATACGTTTTCATATCAAGACATTCCCTTAAAAGATTCGTTTATTACCCCAAAATGAATGTGGAAAAACCAAATAATATTATCTTAATTTAAGACTTATATCCATTCAGTCTGTATGAAAATCTTAGACTTTAAAAGCTCTAAAAAAAATATTTTCCTTATTTTAAGGAAACGATGATCATAGCATATTTATTTTTGAAGAAAAGGTAATGGCAGGTAATTTTAATTTTTTCATCATTAAAGAAATTTTTTCCAAATTTAAATTTGGCAGTCAGACATTATTGATTATTTCAACGATTTCCTTTTGCAGTTTTTAATTTATTTTGTTTTAAGATAAAAAAGATACTTGTATCGCTGCAGAATAGTCTACCCCTGCGATGTAAAAAGAGATCCTTGGACTTTAGTTTTGAAAAGGTATTGATTGGACCCGTTTCAATGGCTCTTTTTCCACAGCTTCCGGTTTATTGGGCAATTACGCAAGCAGCGCTGTGATTTTGCATCAGCCGGCAATTGTTTTGACATTTAATCAAAAGAAGGACAAAGGGACTCCCTTCGCTGAGGAAATTGTGCCGGTGGGGATGCCGATGTGGCTGCCATCCTGCAACTCTGGCATCCGGGTGCTCTGATAAGCTTGACTGGACACTTTGGTGATTGAGTGACTTGTTCGCCGCCGTCCGATGGAATAGCGGTTCAATGTCCCCTTAATACGGCTCTCCTACCAATCCCTCAGTATTATTATTCGTTTTAATCCGGTGGATGGATCAAAGCGCCTGTTGGCTACTCGTCGATTTGATGCCCTGTAGTCTGTAGTAGTTTGAACATAAGGTATTTGGTGTTTTCTGTCCATTTAGTTGTGCAAGAAAGAAGATTTGTGATGTTAATTCTCGATTACAAGCGTTAAATAAAAAGTATGCCATTGGTCGTCTGACTTTTTTATGTGCCAACATGACCGCCACAAAATGCTTTCATTTCCTTTCCTGAATTTCTTTTGCTGCCATTGTGCAAAGGAATAGACATAACAGCAATAAGAAAACAAACAGAACGAACATTGCCGGCCACATCCTTCGATTATGTCAAACAAAAAGGCAACAATTTGGATTTAAAGAGCGACCTTGGGGGTATGGACATGGGTGTATGGCCTTTGTATGGTCGGTACTTCAATTTACTTGCCACATTTCCGCCAAAGTCTTGCCCAACTTTTCTCATTTCGGTTGCCGTTGCCATTGCCATTGCCATTGCTTTTGCCGTTGCTGTTGATGCTGTGCTTCATTTCTATTTCAATTGCTACATCAAAAAAAAAAAAAAACGGACTTCCGCTTCCGCTGGCACTGCTGCTTGAAGCTGGGAGCCAAAAACTTTTGCGTATTCCCTGAATGGCTAAAAGTTCCTTGATTGGCGATCCGTGTAGCACTTATATACAAAATATTGAGCTGAGTATATGTACTTTTAATTTTGAATCCATTTATATGTATCAAACACATAAAAGAAATTGAATACATTAATGACACCAATTTATAGGCTGCACCAGACACAAAGAATCATCCACCAGGATAAAAAATTAAGGGTTACCAAGCTGGTTCCAGTATTTTCGGGCTTTATACAGGGGCACGATTTTGGTGCTACACCTTCCATATTAGGGAACCCTCGACAAGTTATACATGGATTCTTTCCATCGAAGTACTTCGACTGTAGGATTTGGCAACCCATTTCCGGTGACCAAACACAACAGGCGTAGATATCCTCTTCTGAAATGTAAGAGGAAATGTTATAGAAAATTCAAAGATCAGAGGGTTTACCAGGATATGAACACCTATTATGTCTAAGTCTTTCGGAATGCATACGTCCAAATTGCTGGTACTCGGAGGATTTAAATCATTTTTCAATGCATCCAAAAGCTCCTGATCCAGCTGAGGACTAAAGACTTGACGTAAATCGGGCAATGGCATACAATTATATCCGGTCTCGTCGATTTTGCACTCATTCACCGACTCTTTTCGACAGTCAATGCACACTGTACTGTTGTTACTCAATTTGGCGGACGCAGTTAACGGACTTAAAATTAGGAAAATGAACAAATATTTAAGTATTTTTGGCATGTTGAATGTTTTTGAAAGTAAAGTAAAGGGCATTTAATTTTTGTATAGTTTTCGCTCAGCTCAGCTTTAATCGTTTGTATTAAAAGTAATTAGGGACCGTAATGATTATAAGTTTTATTAAAACAATTAGTTTTTAACGATTATTTTTCGAGTTTTAAATTTAACTCAAAATAGAACAGTTATTTTTAAAGTTTTATAAAAATCTCAAAAAAGAAAACTATTATTTGTTGAGTTTTATTTTCAGCTCTACAAATAATGATTATTCTAGGAGTTTTATTTTCAGCTTGACAAAAAAAACTTGACTTGTAAGATTTAATTTTGTTGATTAAAAATAAAGCTCGAATATGTATCCGATTGTCGAGAAAGGCGAATGGAAGTTGATTAAGTGGACTACAGCCAACATTTTTTTTTTTTGATAGCCCTCATTTTGTTCGGTTCGATACGCTACCCCTAGATAATGATGACCCAGGTTCAAATGCGACGGCGATTACCTGGAATGTTATTGCAGGCAATTGCAGGCTATTGACATTTCAATTGTCTCCTATTATTTGCCCGAGGACCGAGGACATAATACTGGCAAAGGGAGCGAGAACACGACCCTCATTTAAATTTAAAAAAGAATACGAAACAATGGGAAAGCACTTTAGTGGGGGTAACACACGCATGCAATGAAAGCAAAAATTTGCATAATAATAATAGCAATTGCACACGCTTCAGGTATTAAAGACTTTTTCCGACCCATCCTCAACTGGATTTGCAAAAAGGAAAATAAGCGAAGCCAAAACAAATGCAACATCAAAAATGGGTGCAAAAGAAAAAAAAGGGAAATGTAAGGAATCCGATTTTCACTTAATTTTCTATGACGATAGAGTTTCCCTCTCGGAATTTTCCCTAGGGTCGGTCACAGCTTCAATCCGAGTACATCAACGTCCCCTTTGACTTCACTCCTGTCAGCCTCAATTTAGACAATAAGCAAAAAAGTCGAAAATGCTTCGGGCCATTTTCATTGCGTTTGTTGTTTTGTCTCAAAGTATCAATTTGTGTATCATTAAAATAATTCGATTTCCACTCGACGGTAAGGGGACCTGATCGGTAAAGTAAGGGTTTCCACCTCTCACCACCTAATTTTATACACAACCTTAAAATGGATTCATCCCCGTTGACATGAGGTATAATTACTTCAAGAACTAATTATGCCCCAGGGCAAGGAATATTCAACTTAAATAGTTATATGGCAACTCGATTGAGGAGTATATATCGAATGGCATTCACAGTTAACATTTTTTCAGATTTTCAAATTTCTGCAAAAAATGATGATGTACCCCCTTACAAAAAAATCAGAAATTTGGACATAAATAAATTTTTCAAAAAACGTTTTTCAAAATTCGGTTTTTGTCTCAAAACTAAATTAATTGTTTCAAATCGATCGGTTATCTAGCTGTTAGTTATATAGTTCCCATAGGAAGAATCGGAAAAATATACAAAAAAAAATGATAACTTTGTTGTTTTTAAATTGGTTAATTATTTCAGAATTACGGTTTAAATTTCATCAAAATCGGACCGACTATATCACATAGCTCCCATAGAAATACTAAAAATATATAAAATAACCATCTAATAATTGAACTGCAATAATAATTGAAATGCGAAGTTAGCTTTCTTTCTTGTTTTTCTTCTTTTCATTTGATTAGTTCCTTTTGTTTTCTGTCAGATGTTAGTGTTACTTCTCGACACGAGTGTATATTTCTGACCTGCTTTTGAAACACAATATCTGACTGAGTGTACCAGCATGAGCTCCAGCAAGAAGGGTGAGATCCGCCACGAGAGCGACAGCCTGGGCACCATGGAGGTGCCCATGGACCGCTACTACGGCGCTCAGACGATGCGCTGCCTGCTCAATTTCCGCATCGGCGGCGAAGAGGAGCGAATGCCGGTGAGTTTAGTATTTTCCGATCGGAAAACATAGCATAGTTCTACCCAATTTTTTGGCCAATATTAGAGTCAATAAATATGCTACGGGATTACTTTGAAAAACCATATGAACCCATTTTTAAGGTAAGCCCGTTGAAATATTTAGTTCAGCTGAGCCCATTGCCTTAAGTGTTTAATTTAAGTGTTTACTACTTATTTTGAATTAAGATATTGTGTAATATCAGTTTTACTTTTCAAAAAATTTTATTTAAAACAAAGACTTAAAAAGTCTTAGCTCTAATCAATGGAATAACCTAAAAAAAACGTATAAATATAAGTTTAACCCTTTCGGACTTCGGCATTTAAACTTGTTCAAAGTAATGAAGAAATTGTTTTTTCCTTTTAACTATTTTCTGTTAAAAATCTATTCTTTCTGGAAGATTTTAATGTAATTTTCATAAAGAGAAATTTCCAAAAGCAAAAGTCTTACAAAACAACCAAACTTACAAAACTATTTATTATTGCATAACCAGTAATAAATGTTTTATTATCTATATGTTTTTAATATTTTTTACTCTGAGATTTATATTAATCCTATATATTTTTTATTTTTTTCTGCTGAGTTCAGCGCCAGATAATCCAGGCAATGGGCATACTGAAGAAGGCGGCCGCCGAAACGAACCAGGAATTCGGATTGGATCCCAAGCTGAGCACAGCGATCTCGAACGCGGCCGACGACGTGATCTCCGGCAAGCTCTACGACGAGGGCCACTTCCCGCTGCCCATCTGGCAGACGGGATCGGGCACCCAGAGCAACATGAACACCAACGAGGTGATCGGCAACAGGGCCATTGAGCTGCTGGGCGGACGGGTGGGCACCAAAGACCCGGTGCATCCCAACGACCATGTGAACAAGTCGCAGAGCTCCAACGACACCTTTCCCTCGGCCATTCACATTGCGGTGGCCACCGCCCTGACGAAGGATCTCCGGCCGGCGGTCACTTCGTTGCGTGACTCGCTTCAGGCCAAGTCCAGCGAGTGGAAGGATGTGATTAAGATCGGACGCACCCACACCCAGGATGCAGTGCCGCTGACCTTAGGCCAGGAATTCAGCGGCTATGCCCAGCAGCTGAGCAACGGGCTGCAGCGGATCGAGGCGGTACTGCCGCGGGTCTATCAGCTCGCACTGGGCGGCACCGCCGTGGGAACGGGCCTGAATACACGTCGCGGATTCGCCGAGAAGTGCGTCAAGAGGATCGGACAGCTCAGCGGACTGCCCTTCGTGGTGGCGCCCAACTTCTTCGAGGCGCTGGCCAGTCGGGATGCCATGGTCGAGGTGCATGGAGCCCTCAATGTGCTGGCCGTCAGCCTGATGAAGGTCACCAACGACATCCGATTCCTGGGCTCCGGTCCGCGGTGCGGCCTGGGCGAATTGCTGCTGCCGGAGAACGAGCCGGGCAGCTCCATCATGCCCGGCAAGGTCAATCCCACCCAGTGCGAGGCCATGACCATGATCTGCGCCCAGGTGATGGGCAACCACGTGGCCGTCACCGTCGGCGGCGCCAACGGACACTTCGAGCTGAACGTCTTCAAGCCGCTGATCGCCTCCAATGTGTTGCGCTCTATCAAGCTGCTAAGTAAGTGTACCTTTAAAATACTTTATTTAAAAACAGTTTGGTCGATTGCCAACGTAACGATTAAAATGAAAATCCTAAGCTTAGTAGTGTCTTTCGATTATTAAATCATTGGTCCAGATCGGACAACCGTAGTAAATGATCGACCCAAGCTTGCCTAATTGCGTATATAACTTAAAAAAAAATTCTATATTTAATTTAAATAAAAATTGATAATGCGCCAAGCTATTTAACATTTGTTACGGCTTTAAATGTTCGAAATATATATAGGTTTAGTTTTAAAGTGTCCTTTTAATTTTGAATCCCAAGAAAAGTCAGCTTTTACTTATAATGTTTTATAAATTATTTAATTATATTATAGAACTTAAGAAATATGCCATGAGCTAATCACTATTAAAACCCCTATGTCCTGACTTCTAGCGGATGGATGCATCAGCTTCAACTGCAATTGCGTCAGGGGCATTAAGGCCAACAAGGAGAAACTGGCCAATATCGTGAATGAATCTCTGGCGCTGGTGACCGCCCTCAATCCGCACATCGGCTATGACAAGTCGGCTCAGATCGCCAGGGCTGCTCACAAGAATGGAACCACTCTGAAGGAAGAGGCCATCAAAGTCGGAGTCTCGGAGAAGGACTTCAACGACTGGGTTCGCCCAGACAAGATGCTGGGTCCATCTTAAACTCCACCTCTGATTTTCCCTTGATTTGTTACCCTTTATCATCTAGTTTATAAATTTCGTGTCATTGCACACTGTTCTTTAATATGGACTTTTGAGGGTAAGCTTAGAATGATTTTAAGCTATGAAATCTATATATTACACGATACTAGCTCAACTCATTCACTTACAAGGGGAAAATGTTATGAAGAACTTTGGTGAGTAAACAAGTTTTACTATCGATGGTATGTGGTCACCCGCAATTAACTTCTTAAGTACACCATTTCTCTATCAAACTTAAACAAAACATAAAGAATAAAAATATGCACACTTGTCGACAAAATCAACATTAACCGTCGTCGTACTCTTATTACATTGCTTCGGCATTAAAGAGAGATGCTCAATCGTCTATTTCCTAGCCAAATTTTTATTTATTTGTAAAAAAAAAAAATTTTTTTTCGGAATTCCCATTTAACGTTACATAATGAAGAAATTGTTTTATTATTAATTTTTTTAAACATTTTAATCGATTTCAAAAATTGAGGACTTGACTTAACAATTTCTAAAAACCAAAAACTGAACACCTTTTATTTACTAGTTCCTTGTATGCCCTGTGTGACCTTTTTGATTTAATTTCTAGCTTATGTTTCAGCACGACTCGGCCTATTATGTAATCGATTGTTTGCACCACCAGCGGAAAGGAGAGTAGCGCCGACATATTGACAATGAGCTGACAGTTCGTCAAGGGAAACCGTTACCATAAAAAATATCTGGCTGATACCGCGACCACAACCGCGATGTCTTGACTAAGTGACAGACTGATGAACTGACAATCTGACAGTCTGACAGTCTGACTGATGTTCTGGTGGTGGCGACGTATGGCTTTATGTGGCCACCAATATCAACAAGGGCTTATTAACAAGTCGCTGAACAAGAGGCTCAACCG